CCACACCACCCCCCCAACAACAGGAAAAAAAAAAAAAAACAAGAAAACTATTAGTCTATTACATAATAATAATAATTTTAATTCCAAAGAATTTGAGGAATTATCTTCAGCGCAGGAAACAGGTGAAGATGATCCCACGTACAGACACAACAACACGAGCTAAGTGATTCGGCAAACAAGTATTTCCAAGTACTCGTCCATCTGCGCTAAACAAGGAAGATAATCAGTTCGCATGCGCACAAGGGTGGACTCTGTCGACACTTCCATCCACAGCAGCAAATGGTACCGCGGTGGGAGGAAAATCAACACCTTCATGGATCCAAGCTTCAACCATGGGGCCTGGCGTCCCCTTCTGCGAAACTCACCCTCATACCTTACGTTCCCTCCCTCCCCCGCCCGGCCCAACCCTCCCCCCTCCCAAGGATCCTCAACAACCACAAGCTGCATCGAGTTACCAGCAGTGCCAACGGCTGCTTTGCTCCGCGGTTTCTTCCCTCCCTGTGCATGCCAGCCTGCAGTTTTTTCGTATCTTTCGCTAAAATGAGCAGGCGCACTCGCATCGCTGACGTCGTCGTAGCCGCCAGACCTATCAAGATAAGGATCATCCTCGTCACCCTTGCCAAACACACCTAGCCTATCGATCTCGTCTACTAAACGATAGAGCGGACTCTCTCTCTCCCTCAGAATTTCCCCGAGAGCAGTTCCTGTGACACTGAAGACGAACGGGGCAAGGTGCACATCGAGCGCATCAAGGACACTATCCACAGACATGTCGAGAAGCTTAACAGCCTCCGCTCCTTCAATGATAACAGAGTTTCCCATCGCATCTGCATTACCACCGTTCCGCTCTTCCTCTTCCCCGGGAGATTCTACCCCCCTTATCACCTCCCTACCCCCACGGCAAGCGCTCCACAGTTCCCCAAACAAGGCAATCCTGAATTTCAACGGACTGATCGTCTTCTCCTGCTCTCGAGATGGAAGCGAAGACGAAGGCAAGCACCGTGGGACATGAGGAAGCAGGAAGAGATCTTCGATACCGACGGGAATGCTGCTCAGTCTGGATGCTGCTGTCCTCCCTGCCTCACCAGTGTATGCGACACACACATCCATAGACGAGGGTACGGGCTCGATAGGACAAAGCTCTACCATGACCAATTCCACGCCTACTCTACACAAATCCGCATGTTCATCTCCTCCAAGCTCTTCGCCAGCGAAGTCATCGTCACCACCAGCATAGGCATCGGCATCAGCAGCATCATTGTCGTTGTCGTCATCGTGTTCCTTTTCCACACTTCCTCCTCGCTCCTTCTCGTCCACTTCCTCTTCTTCGCCGTCCTCCTCTGCTGCTGAGACGTTAGGTCTGGCTCTTCTCAACCTGCTCCTTCGATACCTTCCGGAGGAGTTTTGAGCTCTTCCACTCTCCCTCTCTAAGGGTCCATCGCTAGATCGATTAGTGCCGCCTACCCGAGCGCAATTACTGACCTCACCACCTTCTGGACGATACCTACCTTCTCCAAGGTCGCTGCCACTGCCATCATCACTGGCCGGTATCTCTTTATTCCTTCTTGGTGGCTGGCTGAGAAGAAATGGGACCTGGATCGGCGCGATAGGCTCATACAACGTAGGCGACATGGAGAAGGAGAAAACAACCGAGTAGACGACGGGCCATTGCGCCACCTCCTCGTCGCTCTCCAGCTCACCGCACTCGTCGGCACTATCAAATCCATTTCCAGAAGGGATCCTCGTCAGCAACGTTCTTGGGTCTCCCACCCTCCCAAATGCCTCATCAGCTGCTTGATACCATACCAAACACGGCACCCTGATCTTCCGCTTTTCGGTCCCAGGACCCCAGATACCTCTGAAGTAACACGCCACCACCTCGTCAACATCGCCGAGACCATCGAGACCATCAGATGACGTGTCTTGAGGACTTTCCAAGCACCCAACGGGCCGATGCCGAGAGCCTTCTTCGTTATTCCATTGCCAGGGCATGTCCCCTTCCGTTCGTTCATCGTGACCAAGTGTCGATCCAGTGGCAGGCAAGAATTCTGGCCTTTGCTGGACAGCACCCATCGCATCTGCAACAAGGGGCAGCCTAATTCTGGATAGGAAAACTTCAGAAGACGCAGCCCCTTCGTCCCGATCACTGGGCATAGAGCTGCCGCGGAGGAGGGTGGGAAACGTCCCAGCAACCCCCTTGTAGTCGTCCTTCAGCTCTTGTGCATAACTCAGAATCTTCCGCAGCTTTGATCCTTCCGCCTCTGTCAATAGTCGAAGATACAGTCTGCCAAGAAGAGATGACGCCCACAATGACCAACAAATCGCACGAGTACGATCATCATCATTGTCATCGTCGTCACCATCGTCACAGTCGGCATCACCATAAGAACTATATACAAGTTAACAGAAAACCAAAGTCGCAGCACCGAATCCAAACTACTTCAAATGGTGAAAGACTGGAAGTATAAGAAAAAGTTGAAAAACCAAAGAAAATTGGCCAATTAAAGAGCCCATCAAAGCCATTGGGCCAGCTCAATCACCTTTTATTAAACAAAAAGCACTCGCACAAATTATTGGAGAGGGCGTAACGCAAAATATCGTCACGACTCACGAATCCATAAAGAATTCCTACTAAGCAAATCATAGGTTGAGCTGGATATATCGGAATCATTATTAAGATTTAGATAAAAATTGAAACATTTTGAATAAAGAAAGAGATGAGAAGAATAATTCAATAATTCATAAATTTCCAATTCAGTTGAACTCACTAATTTAGTAATTTTTAGTATTTTACTAATTTATTTACGGGATTGAAACAAATATCATCAAGAAAATGATATTGATAGTTTATGCCTCTGATCGGTATTAGCAGGGTCCTTGGCCAACACGGGTGCGAGTGTGAGTGTGGCATTAGACACTGCTGTTATTTGGTTGGGGGTGGGGGACGGTGAAAAGGGAGGCGCAGCTACTGGCAAACAAAAATGCTTGGTCTTTCGGTTAGCTGGACCCCCACCGGCGGTCCCACCCCAGCCTTGACCACCATGGTTGGGGCAGGGGGGGGGGCAACATGCATCAGAGGCATCCCCTCTGATGGCTGGAGGGAGACACCAAAGCTATGTTCGCAGGGGTCCCCTGTATAAGCCTTAGGAGTAGTGGGTAGGTAGGTAGTGAAGGTGAATTGAAAGAAATTGAGAGATGATGAAAGATTTGAGAGAAGGATAATAATAATAATAATAATAATAATAATAATAATAAAAAAAAGATATTGTCGTATTGATAGTTCATAGAACGTTATACAGATTAAATTAATTTTGTATTGTATGACCCGTCTGAAAGACCAGACAGGTGGGCTCGCTCGAGCTGGTCCTTTGTCTGGCCTGCAATGCATGATTAGCGCCTACCTTCTTCACCTGAATACAACGTACTACGATCATTATTCTCTGCATTTAGACTGAAAGATACACCAAATACATACGGCTATAATGACCGTATGTTGTATTTGGGTGGAGGTAGTAACTAGTGGACTGAAGCTGAAGTGCGGAAAGAGAAGAAAACAATCTGCTGTCAGGACACATAGTCACACTACAGTCCTCCAAACACAACACCCCCCCATCACAAAACCCGATACACTCGCAACGATGGCGCGTTGTGTTCGGGGGAAGACCGTAACACTCTTTTTTAAGGGGCCATGCTAATCTTCTCTGTATTGTTCGGAAGACGGTAACACTTGAACGGCAGACGGTAACACTTTAATGGAAGACGTTAACACTTTAACGGAAGACGGTAACACTTTAACGGAAGACGTTAACACTTTAACGGAAGACGGTAACACTTTTATAGATATGCATGGCCAAAAATGAATAGAGATACTTTAACGGAAGACGGTAACACTTTTGTAGATATGCATGACCAAAAATGAATAGATATACTTTAACGGAAGACGGTAACACTTTTATAGGTATGCATGACCAAAAACGAATAGATATACTTTAACGGAAGACGGTAACACTTTTTATAGATATACTTGACCAAAAATGGATGGAGTACGTTCATGCCGCACAGGTCCTGCTGTGAGTACGCCATTGGATGGAGTGAGGGGAAAAGAGAAGACTGAACTAGTGCCTCTTCACACGGTTAGGATGGGGGGGGAAAAAAGCATGTCAGACCCTGAAAGAGCCACAACCACTTTCACTTCCACCTGTCAATCAACACAATTTTTTATTTTATTTCTTTCCTGCCTTTTTTTTTTTTCCTTTCTCTTTTTCTAACTGGAACATGGTTTGTAACTTTGTATACGTTCATGACGACCGCGCGTTGCGCCCAGGGAGGCAAGAAGGTAGTCGTTCCTGTCGTCAAAGACGCACTACGGACAGGGCAGCAGGTATTGAAAAGGAGGGAAGGTGTGGCGATCTTGGAGTTATCTATGCCCCTGACATTCGCAGCATGGTTTCCATAAGCTCAAGGGCACTTAAAAACAAGGGGCCTCGCTGCACCACTCACCAAATATGCAAAATGAGAATGAATTTGCCGCTAGAACAGGTACAGATTCACCGCCATTTTTTTGTTGTTGTTGTCTTTTCTGCATGTTGTGAATAGTGGAGCGAGGTCCACGGACTCGGTGTCAAACCACCGGTACTTGGAGGCCCAGGCAAACTTGCGAACCGGAATCGGCTCATTGCAAAATGTTCGGAGGCTCGGGGCTACCGGACGAAATGGCTCTCAGCCCCAGCCAAAAGAAAAGAAAAAGCGCTGCACTGGCGTTTAGGCGAGAGCTTGGCGCTCAGGGGGGGGGAATGGGCCCTGGCAAAGGGAGGGCTTGGATGCACTGGCCACTTAAACCACCAGTACCTGGCCCAGCTATCGAGTCCGAGCCTCCGCCGACCGGTACGCCGATCCGTGCCGAGGCTCGGACTACCGGGCGCAGGCATCCCGAACGTCGGAGTGAAAGAACGAAAGAAACAGAAAAAAAAAAACGAAAAAAAAAACGAAAAAAAGTATGGCAGTGTATATTCCCACACTATAGCGCCACATTCATTCGATTTTGCTCATCCTATGGAGGGCGCAGTACCATGAGGCCAACCGCGGAGAGAGAGAGAGAGAGAGAGAGAGAGAGAGAGAGAGAGAGAGAGAGAGAGAGAGAGAGAGAGAGAGAGAGAGAGAGAGAGAGAGAG